CGTGGCGCTGCCGGCTCGGCAGGGACTCAGCTCCACCTGATCTGCGGGCGAGAGGAGACATGGCTCTACCCCAGCCCCTCCGCACCACGCTCCTCCGCCCGCTTCCTTCATTAACACGGCTAACGACCCAAGCTGACCCGCAAGCCTGGGGAAGGCCAAGTCACTCTCTGCTGTGGAGTTTCAGCCTTACCCATTCCTGCCCCACACCTCACCATGCCCAAGAGAAAAGCCATGCTTGCATCAAAGCTTCACCAGCAGCCTACAACACTGCCGTGAGCCCAGTCCTCCTGGTCCTTGCTGGATGGAGGTCTCGTGTCCAAGCTTTGCACAAGGGACGCTGCATTGAACGGAGACGTAGGTCTGGCACAAGCCGCTTCACCAATTCCAGACCCAGCCTGCTCCCCGCACCCTGAGCCACTCTTTGGGGACGCTGCAGGTGACCGTGCTCTTAAATAGAGAGGTATCCGGTCAGCTGAACCCATCCCACGCCATCAGCCAGCATCGCCCTCTTCCACACCAGCTCATACCCCGCCGGCAGCCAAGGCACTTAGTAAAATCATTTGGGTATTCGATGTATTCATCTTCTTTACATGGCAAACACTTGCTGGAGCCATTTTGCTCTTTACAGTGGTCTGCAACGTAGGTGCCTGCAAGAAGGGGCGGTTGGGGAAGAGGAGGGGAAAGAAAGGGTGTATCTGTGAACATACAGCACAGGACGGAGAGGTCTTTACAGAGAGGGAGTCAATTCCACTGCCAGCGAAGTTAAGAGGCAAATTAGGAACCATCAAAAGGAAAATGTTCTCATAATGAGTCCTTAGATCTCCCAGCAGCAGAGCAGGGGAGAGCTGGAGCACCCGTTGCCTCCTCCTGAGGAGCAAGGACACAGGGGCTCTGCAGGCAGAAACACAGCGATGTTTGAGAGCATCTTACCTGCGGGGCACTTCTTGCAGTAGAGATGACTGTCTTGGACTTGGTAAAACTCTTCCCCTCCCCTGCTTGGGTCCAAGGGATCCAACTTGTCCCTCCTACCCAGTGCTGCAGCAGTTCCCAAACCAGCCTCCTGTTAAAAAAATACAGAAAAACCTGGGTTAAAAACCACCCCAAGTCCATGGGGCAAGGGAAGAAAGAGAAGGGCAAGAGCTGCTCTGCCCAGTGCGCTCAGGCGAAGCGGGAGAGGAGCGCTGGGACGATTCAGACCCGCTGGACCCAGCGGCCAAACCTCCCCTTGACGCAGGCGAAGGGCACTTCCCCCGTACCGGGGTGGTTATTTTCTTGGCAAAGCATAAGGGGGAGGTTTGCAGAGGGATTCCCGTGTGCCAGGTTATCAGCAAGGCAAAGGCTCACTAACACTTCCTTAGGATAACATCAGGCCCCCTTTCCTTCCCCAATTTTTGAGTGCATGAACCAACAGCACTGAAGAAAATGGAAGGTTAGGGAAGAGGAACAGGGAGGGCGTTTGTGGGGAGGAAACCGGCCCCGTGTCAAGGCTGGTACGTGGCTCCTGTGCCCACAAGAAACACCCGGGCTGCTCCGGGCTCCCAGGGGACAGCACGGCCTCCAGCATTTCCGCATTATCCCCATTATCTTGCTGCGGATCGGGAAGCCAACGGCCCCGTTTCCGCCAGCTCACCGCGCACCTTTCTGCTGGCTCAGCTCTTTCTGTACTGGCTGGGTCGCTCCAGCGGGAGGGGAACGATGCTCGACAAGAACAGCCACTCGCCCCATCAGGGTTTGGGGGGGCCTTTGGGGCACCCCATGTCCCCGAGGGGAACAGTGCCCTGGGCACATCAACCAGCACAGGGCACAGCTGCTCCATGGATAAAAATGGATATAAACCTGCCCTATCTCCAGCCTCTGCCCCTCTACCCTGGGTTATAAGGAGGGATGATGCCTGGCCATGCTGTGTGCTGCACAGCAGTGGCAGTCTGGCAGAGGCACTTTCCCCTTCCCCTCCCACACGCCGGGCATGAAACCTGCCTCTTAAAGCAAATATTTCTTCTGTGAGTCAGAAGCTGCCTTGAAAGGCTAAAACAATAGAGACACAAGCTGTCCCCTGAGCCAGCCCGGCCATCTACAGAGCCAATGCCCCCCTCCTCCTCCCCGGACACTTCCCGCGCTTGTACAAGGAAGGGCGTGAGTGCCAAAACCGGCCGCAGCAGGTCCAATGGTCACGGGGCTGCAGAGGGTGACGCAGACCCACAAACAACACCGCTGAGACCGGCCAGGCCACAGAGAGGGTGATCCCTCACCGCCACCACGGCACAGACCCCCTGAGCCCCGGCCAGCCCGGGAACGGGGCCATCTCCAGACCCTGACTTGGAGCAATCAAGTCCACATCCCTCCAACGGCTTCTGGCGCCGCATCTTCCGCTGCTGCTTTCTCCGGCTGGGAGGGTTTGCAAGTTTATAAAGTGCTTTTCTATCCAGCTTAGGAGATAAGTCTTGCTTTTACCTCCCAGCCGCAAGCAGCTGTCAGGGCTTCACCCACTCTGGTCTTGAAAGTCTTCAGGGACTGAGACTGGGCAAACCTGTCCCACTGCCTCACTGTCCCCATAAGGGAATAAAAAAAAAAAAAGTCTTTCTTCCCCATTCAAACCCTGCCAGGCCGTGAAGGTGATCAGAGCAACAACACAGCATTATCTGCTGTTTGAAAAGGCCCCTTAGGCACAGGATTTCATTGCTTTTCATGAAACAGCAACTCAGCAGAGCTTGCACGAGTGCACGATAAGGTTATCAGCCCGCACCACCTTCCCCAGCAAGTGCACTTCAAGTACATCAGCCCACCTCCGAGCCCTTGGCAGGCGAGGGCTGCCATCCCTGACTAACCTATCAGTCTTGCAAAGCACGGGAGAGAAACCAGGCTGGGAGCCGTGGGCGAGACGCAATGGTATTCAAGAGTAGTTTTCACCCACAGTAAACATCCCAAGAAAGTAACGCTGCCTCAAGGCAGAGGAATTACCAGGCACAGGAATCCCCAGTACCCTCATCAGCTAAAAACCTCTTCCTTCTGGATGATCAGGTCTGGAACAAAAGCTCTGGGAAGCATTAAGTTTTGAACTTTCCCTTCTTCCATCCCCAATTTGTTTTCCTTCTGAAGTGATCCCAAGGAAGGAGTTGGACCCTACAGCAGAAGGCAGACCCCTCGCTGAACTCCTGACCATCAGTGAACATCCGTGCAGCATTAATACGCAGCCCTTGGTTGTAGCAAGAGAGGCTCTTAGCCGACAGTATTAAGGACCGGGGATAAAAGAGATGCCAGGCAGACACCCGACGTGCCTCTGCTCCAAGGGCACAGGTCTGACGAACGTGGGGTTTTCCCCCCCAAGACTTTCTGCGGATGGAATTTGAGCTCCTGCAAACACACAGATCCAGCGACATTCCTCCTCGGGAGCCCGTGGCCCAGGTCCAGGCATGATGCAACAAGCATTGGTGAGCAGAGGAAGGAACTGCAGCCACAATATCGTATGATTATCACGTGGGGCACGATCAGTCCTGATCGGTTCCCCCTCCCCTTTTCTTTTATAAAAACGGAAAAAAAAAATAAAAGAAAGAGGCTGTTAAGAGCGTGCCCTTAGGTGACGGGTTTAGTAAGGCTTGACTTTATCAGGCAAGTCTAAATAAACTCTCATAAACAATATAGGGAAGGAACTGGATGAGAAGCTGACTCTTCTGAAACCTGTTATGGGCAGTGCTGATTTCAGCGACAGCAATTCCAGCGCGGGAGCAGCAACCACGTGTCCCAGGGCCGCGGCTCCGCTGGGCTCCCTCGTGGCGGCAGGGATCACAGGCCAGCCCCGGGGATAAAACTCAGGGCAGGACGCCACTGACTTCAGGTGAGACGAGACTTTAGGTATTTCCGAGCTCTATAGCAACACCCAATCCATGGGGAAATATCATACGCGCAGGCGGGATTTTCTGTCCTAAAAGCCAGCAGTGCTAAGGGTTTGGACATCCTTCGGGCAAGTTGGAGAGGCAGCATTCCTG